ATCATTCTAAAATATGACTCTAAAATACTCGCACGTACCCAACACTTGGCTCGAGTATGGGTATCGTTATCACCGGGGTAGTCGACAGGGTCTGGCGCTTCTGCTTCTGCGCCCGTGTGAGGCGATCAATAGTCCGTAGACCGTTGCTAAGCGTAGTCACTTCCCCTTCATGTCGCATGTGACGTGACTGTAGGCGTGCCAGTTCATGCACACATTGGGCCGTCTCGTTTGTGCGGTGGCGTTTGGCGCACTCTGTGAGTACCATTGTATAGCACTCGACCGCTCGGTCTACCCACAGGGACTTGCGGGACGAGGACGTGTTGCTGTGTGGTGTTGGGTTGGTTGCGATACGGGTTTATTGGTAGGTAGGTTGAGGGAAAGATGTATGGGAAGGTGTGGGGTTAGATGACAGACATCCAGGCGAGGCAGAGGGTTGCAGTAGTACAACACGGTATGGGGTGCAGTACAAATGTAGGTGCTTCTAGGAGAACGGACACCGAAGAGTGCCGTAAGTTAGTTAGTACTATATGATACTGAGTATTAAAGCGTCCATGATATAGACTTAAGCTGTCAAATCAATGAACATAACTAGACACGAAAAAACCTCTTCGTAGTAGTATCACAGCCTCGTTCTACCGGATGCGTTGCTCTGTAGTGCAACTGAAAGGTCAATAACACACGCTCAGATACTAACATCCGATCCAGATCTACATACCACAGATCCGTCATAGACACAAACCTCAGCGCACACCGTACATACCAATCATCGGCCTGATACGAATACAAACACGCCAGATTGCGCATCAGCCCTACATCCCCCGCACTAAAGTACAGCGCCGCATGGACACCCCTGCCCAGCGACATGACATCCAACGCTTCGGTGTGCCTCTCCAACGCCACCAGCGTTTCCCCGTGAGCCTTGAGTGCCGTGTAGCCCAGTTGGGGATAAGGCACCGCCACCAGCAAGCCGGTGGTGAGTGGTGCGCACGCACGACAACCGCCACGCTCTCCGCCTACGGATGTGTGTGCACACTCCCCAATCTGGTTCTCAGCGCTACATCGCGCGGATTTCCGCACATCCCCACACGTGATATTGAGCGTGCTTTCTTTGGCGGCGTTGCTCAGGCCCACATGCAGGCTCGTCTCCGCGCCAGACTCAGCCGCACCTTTAGCCTCGTCACCGTGGCAACCGCTGCGGGCATCTACTTCGGCGTCTTTCTCACACCCTCCGGCGATGCACATGATAGCGTTTCTGGTCTGGGGGCTGGCCCCAGACCACAGTTTGCCGCCCTTTCCCTTTGTGTGCTTCTTACCGATCGACGGATTGGTTGCCAGGCCTCGGGTGTGTTGCGCATTCTGTCTTGTACGTGCCCGCGTGGGCGTGGGAGGGTCTGTGCCTGTGCGTGTGGTGGTAAGTCCCGCACTGTATCTCTCGTTCTCAGCTAATGTCGCTGCATGGGTGTTGTGGTTGTGTTGGTAGCCCAGTCCACCCTCATAATCATCCCGCAACGGTACCGATAACTCCTTTGGCAGCCGAGCCGCGTCGCATGTTGCGTCGCTGTGTGGGTAGAAGGTGTTCAAACTCAACTGCATCCATTCGCGCGCGACATCCAACGCCCCCTGCTGATTGAAGTAGTACAGTCCCAGGCAATACGATGCCTTTCCTAAGCACAAGTCCGATGGACCGATAGTTGCTTCTCTCGCCGAAACACTTCGACTAGCATGCGCATGAGTGTGTGGTATGCTATGGGGAGGGTCATTTGTTCTGCCTGTGATGTTGGCGGGTGCGTCTGGTTGCGTGTCGTTGGAAAGCGTATCGGCCTGTGCGTGTATGTGTGAGAAAGGTTATCTTGAATAGCCAGGCGTCGTTTGAGTATGTATGTTACATAACGCTCTCGCTATGAGTTCAGACATATGCATACACAAACCCATCTATATATAAATGCGTACTCATATGGTTATGAGCTATGGTACACCACTCGCCCGTACTATCGCTTTCGCGATCAACCTAAAAGCGACGCAGAGCATACTGAAGACATGTCACGGATGCACTGAGAAATCATTTAAATCCAATCCTAATGCAATATGGGTGTATATCTTTTGCCACATGCCACAGGTGTGTTCTGGATCTGTTGTATTCTGTGGTGCCCGACGAATTTTGTATTAAACAGCAAATACTCCAGTGTGAGAACTGGTAACATATTCACAACAACAAAAAAGATTGCATATATTCGCATACACACGGTAACGGAACTTGTTGAACTCGTTGATGAGTGACAAAAATGCTATGAACAAATGAGCAGTCATGTGTGATATTAGTGCAGGCATATTCATGTGTAATATTGAAGTGCACGTCAATACAAATTTGGTTGATCGCATTGGTGGCTATCACGTATCTGATTTAATACAAGCGCGCATATAGAGCAGGCTACAAAGTACTGACATTGCATGTAGACGATGAAGGGTTTGATGGACTAAATCCAACCCCCTTGATAGTGTCCTTGTGCTGTGCTACTGATATATGATCGACCACCAGGCACACGCAAGCATATACATATACATTATCGTATTTACATCTATACCCATAGCAGTATACAAGGCACATACCTGGCAAAGGGGCTCTAATATGTGTACCATGGTGCGGTCGAGGTCTTGCAGCAGTCGTTCGTAGCTCACGTTGATTCCGTGGCGCGATGCCGTACTAGTAATGGTAGAGAATCTGTTGGACACTGGTCTGAACTCAGGGAGTTGCAGAGATGCACTGGCCGCTTCCCCCGTTAGAGGCGACAGTCCCTGTTAACAAAATGAGTATGTGCATGAATTTAGTGTGTACAATACGTATGGCTAAAGTGTTTGCACAAACACCAAAAGAACACTGACACACACTGACACAGACACAGGCACAGATAGACACACTGAAACCCACACAGACAGACACAGACAGACAGACACAGAGAAGTCACATACAGTAAAAAAAACACCACTCATATACATATATATATTTATAAATATATA